AGTATTCCATTGTATTTTCTTAAGTTTTGTACTTGCCTATGGAACATAATGCAGATATATGCATCTAAGTCAGTAAAGTGTTCCTTCATATCCAATAAAAGTAAATAATTCCTTCATTTATCTCATGCCAGGTAAAGAAAATAATTATATCAATTTTCCCTCTTTCTGCAACTATTATTTCCCACTAATATATATATATATATATATATATATATAATTCATCCTATTTTATTTCGTGACTTTTACTGATAAGCGTTTTGATTCAATTCGAAAAGGAAACTTTTTGTTTAGATTATTATGCCATCCTCAGTTTTCTTATCACTATCGCCATCATAACTGTTACATTTATTATCAAAATACTCATTTTTATTTATTATTGGTATATAACATTGAAAAAAAAGCTACATTTCTTGGTTTGTTCCTCCCCATATATATATATATATATATATATATATATATATATATATATATGTCGAGTTTTATTATTTCCCCCAAGGTTATTAAGTTTGTTGGATATAACAGTTTTTCTCTATTACTTAACTTTGGCCTAGTATTACGTAATTTTTTTGTTATTTCAGTATTAGGTAATAACCAATTTTACTCGGATTTATGGTAAAGAACGAATAGTTATTATTCAAAGTTCGATATATCAAAGTACTTTTAACAAATGTATTTACGTAAGTTCCTCACAAACGACAGTATTTTCAACCTGAAATGAATTTGTATTTTCACATAAATTTTTCATACACATAATTCCCCTTGTTATCTTGTAAGCATATCAATATCTCGAGATGGTGGAGAAATAGAATTTTTCCAAAGTTCTAATGTTAAATAATCGAACAGAATATAAAGGATGCCATAAATATATTATTTTATACATTTTTCAATATTATTTAAACAGTCTAAATAAAAACACCTAAGTACACTGTACAATTTACTAGGAGTCTTCAACGATCGTACAACCAACTGATTCTGGAATTTATATTTGGATATATCCTAGTGTGAAACTTGGTGAGGTTATATTTGATGTCTAAAGAATGAGCTGACATTAAGTAGCCTATACATGTTTGATTTGTTATAATTTATTACTATCCTTAAAACAAAATCTTTCAATGAGATAAATTCACATTAACAAAGGGTTAAAAGTTATCTGTAAAATATGGTATATAGCATTGAAGAAAAAGCTACATTTCTTGGTTTGCTCCTCCCCATATATATATATGTCGAGTTTTATTATTTCCCCCAAGGTTATTAAGTTTGTTGGATATAACAGTTCGAGACATTTAGCCAATAAAAACTTAAGAGTTTACTGGCGACAGATCAATAATATCAGTGATTTATGTAATAAAGCCTTCTTTGAAATCGAAACATGCTGCGCAGACCTTAAGTATGGCATTGCGTTATACACATTTACATATTAAATATAGTGTTTACTGTGGCGGAATACCAGGCGTGATCAAAGTGTGAGTCAAACACGTTTTATCAGCACAAATATCCAGTCACTCATTCATCTACCCATTATTCATTATCGTATGTTGAAAAAAAGATATCAATCGTCTAAATATTTTATATTGATGCTAAACAGACAGGATGATATTGAAAAATATTCTGATAAACGTCGAAATATTATTTCAAACTGAAATTATGGTGCTTTATAGCTCAGGTGAATGCTTTCATTGGTGTCACTTTCTCATATTGAACAGAAAGGCAATAAAAGTTCTCCAGTTGAACAATCCTGCTCAGAGAATGTAACGAACTAAAATTATTTCTCATTAACATGTGAATACAGCTAGTGAGAAATCTATGATCTAAAAATATGTACATGGAATAAAAACTCCACAGGCTGAGCCTATTACTGTTATTCAGTTAACTGAGATTTATCGTTGAAAATCTTAGCTTACAGTTTCAAAGATAAGAGAGGTCTAATAAAGTACTAAATTTGATGAATGATAATGGATCTACTTATTAACAAATCAGAACAATTCACGTCATAGAAAATTAGCCCTACGATATATATATATATATATATATATATCACAGATGTTCAATAAATTTTGCATTCCCCTCTATCTCATTCATTAGAATTAGACTATGTCAATCAACAAAACTGTACCATACTTTGAATTAGAATACCATGAAATCAAATATTCCCAATCAGTAAATTCTTGCTATTAGAAATGAAATTAATATAATTCTCAATATTTTGGAAAATTACTAATCTTCATAAATGAATTGAAAATCAAATGCACTGATCCATTAATCATTGTATCATATCAGTGTTTTAATGGAGTGAACAACAACAGAAAAAAAAGAAAGAGTATGAATAAATGGAGAAAATTATACGTGGAAAAAAAGATAATTTTTAAAAGAAAAAAATTTTTTTGTATTTTTTGAAGGAAAAAAAATTTATTATCCACATTGGTGGTCATGATCACTTTATTGTATAGTATTATGTAACATTAATCTTTTCTTTTCTTTTTCCCCATTTTTTTGTTTTATTTTAAAATAAGAGAAAAACTTTTAAAATTTTCTTTTTATTTTTAGGCGGTTTTAAAATGAAAAACAAAAAAATTATGCTAATGTACTTAATAAAATGTGTATAAAATTGATGACATTTATACGTGTATACATACTTATATTATAATGTACATGTGATTCAGTAGTATATAAATTTATTCATTGTTAGCTTGAATTTTCTTTCGCTTTTTTTCCAATAATAACGGTGATTATTGTGTAGCATGCAAAACTCATTTTAATATATAATTTATGTTGTATTCTAGTTTAGTTTATAGTTTAAAAAGCAAACCAAATTTTCATGATTTATTACTGTAATTTATTCTAGATATTTACAATGACTTGTAACAAGTTATGATTATATTTTTTATTTGGGAAAGAGGATGAGGTGGTCTATTCAATTCTTCCACTTCCTCATATATGATAATCAGTATCTTGTGAATGATAAAGTATGTACTGTATAACATTGAACACTGACTCTGGGCATAGAATACTAAACAAAATGTTGTTAATCTATGCCAATTGAAGTTAGAAAGTAATGTGAATTACAAATATATGACTATAGCTTCCTGGTTGATGTTGATTAGTTAGCTTTAATCAATAGTTGGAGGTGTCTGTAATTAATATCATTTCTTAAACTAAAATAGTCATCACGGTTTATTCAATCTAGGAATGTGTTGACACGACATGATTCGATTTGTTTAGTAAATGGAATACAGCCATTATAACGTTAAATAAGAAAGATTAGTTCGACGAAGTGTTCTCTTTTCGGCGAATTCATTTTCAAACCTGTACAATCTCAAATATATATACTTACTTTAAAGGATGATAATAATTCTAATAACATTGATAATAAACTTCTGTTGGACATGGTGACAGTGAGGTTAAATAAACAGAGGTATTAGAAATTTTTCAAAATAAAACAATGAAAGTTTAGTAATCCTTTTATTGTTAATGGCTTAAGTATTCATCAAAAGATAGATATGGAAATTATCATTGGGAAAGAATGGCTCAGCATGATAAGATAAAATGTTGAAATTGAGATTAAATGTAATCAGGATGATCATAGAAACAGAAATAAACCAGTCGGGGGTAGAAGATTTGAGGGAAAGATGGAAGGTGAATGAGATGGCTGTAAAGGAAGTAGAGTATGAAGAAAGGAAGTAAAAAAGAAGAACAATTATTTTACCTCAATGTCACCATGTCTAGCAGAAGTTTATTATCAATATTATTATAATTACTATCACCCTGTAAAATAAGTATATATATTTGAGATTGTTACTTACTTACTTACTTCCGCCTGTTACTCCCAATGGAGCATAGGCCGCTGACCAGCATTCTCCAACCCACTCTGTCCTGCGCCTTCTTTTCTAGTTCCATACAATTCGTGTTCATTTTTCTCATGTCTATATCCATTTCCCCGCGTAATGTGTTCTTTAGTCTTCCTCCTTTCCTTTGACCTTCAGGATTCCATGTGAGGGCTTGTCTTGTGACGCAGTTGGGTGCTTTCCTCAATGTGTGTCCTATCCACTTCCAGCGCTTCTTCCTGATTTCTTCCTCCGCTGGGATCTGGTTTGTTCTCTCCCACAGTACGTTGTTGCTAATAGTGTCCGGCCAATGGATCTGAAGTATTTTGCGTAGACAATTGTTAATAAACACCTGTATTTTCTGGATGATGGCTTTCGTAGTTCTCCAGGTTTCTGCCCCATACAGTAGAACTGTCTTGACATTTGTATTGAAAATCCTGACCTTGATGTTGGTTGACAGTTGCTTTGAGTTCCAAATATTCCTCAGTTGTAAATGTGCTGCTCTTGCTTTGCCGATCCGCGCCTTCACATCTGCATCAGATCCACCCTGTGCATTCTGTGTTGTATCGGAGAATCCTGCTTTTCCCTTTGTGTATATTGAGACCTACTGCTGCTGAGGCTGCTGCCACACTGTTCGTCTTCTCCTGCATCGGTTGTTGCGTTTGTGATAGAAGGGTCAGATCATCTGCGAAGTCTAGATCGTCCAACTGCATCCTAGATGTCCATTGTAATCCGTGCTTCCCTTCAGACGTTGACGTCTTCATGATCCAGTCGATCACCAGGAGAAAGAGAAAGGGTGAGAGTAAGCAACCTTGCCTAACACCGGTCTTCACTTCGAACAACTTTGTCAAGTGAGATTGTACAGGTTTTAAAATGAATTCGCCGAAAAGAAAACACTTTGTCGAAATAATCTTTCTTGTTTAAGATCTAAATTGTCAGTTTAAGTAATATATATAGTCCTAGTGGAAAGAGAATTCCAACCTAGTTGGTTGATTTCTCATTATTATTATTATTATTAATGGCTTTATTCAATTAATTTCTCATCTTGAAGTAGTTATTATGAATTATATACCATATCATGTTTTCTGAAAAATCCAATCACCATTTCATATGAAAAAATGCATTGAATTACTAGTATAAGCATAAGAAATAAATTTTGCTAATTGAGTTTATTCTTACCTTTAATACATGGTGAATCAGGTAAACGTGTTTGTTTATAACCCTCTTGGCAACGATTACATGCTTGTCCAACAACTCCTGGTTTACATGGACATTGACCAGTTTTACGATCACAATGTTGGTTAGCGATCGATCCAATCGGATGGCATCGACATTCTAAAATGAATATACTTATCACGATTTAATCTTTATTGAATGGTCAATTTATAAAAAAGCGTAATCAAATAAACATGCAGAGTGTTGATTCAATGCAAGAACATTTCAAATCCGTTTTCGCTGCGAAAAATGATGCCGTTTACCATCTATTAATAGAATCATACAAATTGTTGATGGACAAAATCATGCATTCTATGTAAGTCATTATTCTATACAGGGCCTTCAACATAAACGTATAAAAACAATTACTGTATATGCAACGTAAAACTTTTGTTACTATCTCGTATTTACCATGTTAAACGATTTAACCCTTAGAATTTTTGTGTTTATTTTAGTTTACAGATATCCAGATTAGTATTATTGTGGTTAGCTGTAAAATGTTCAATGTGAATAACTTGATGAATTGTCGTCACAATAAGAAAGTCATTAACGTTTACATCACTCAACATCAGACAATGTATTTTAAAGCAGACTCCATTATATCAAGTTTACGACTATAGTTTTCAATAATATTCATAATCTTGTTCGAAGACCGTTTCGTTTTTTTCTAAACTTCAATCATTTGTGCTCAGCAACTGAAACAGAAGTCTGAATTCGGTGATGATCCCAAGGTAATTTGTGTTATTGAACCGATACCCAATATACATCAGTCTTTAAAGATATGACTGATAAATGCAAACTCAACTCCCTTCAGCTACAGAGAGATATAACGGCAATAATACTGTACAAACCAGTCAACTTATGGAATTAAATAACCCATCTTTATTCCAATTCACCAGATCATTTGGGACTGAGTGACGCAACTTTAGTTCCCGTTGTTCCCTTCTCAATCTAATATTAAATTATGTGAGCAATTTAGTACTACTTATAGGATTCCTTGGTAACTTTAAGTATTGAAACTTTGTTTTTTGGTAATAATACTCATAGGACTAATAAGAAAGTGAGTGAAGTATCTGTCAGCTAGTTGTTTGTGCTGATAATGCATAGCTCGTTAGGAAGTACAGTGATGTACATCTCATTATAGAATATCTACCTGCTAGCGAAACTCTTACCCAAACAGACTTGATCATGGCTAACAGGCTTTGTCCAATCTCTATAGTAACCTGTTACACAATTATGACATCTTCTCCCGACCGTATTATGTTGACAATCTTGACATACACCACCGCTTACTTTCATTGACATTAAATATAACTGGTTTGAAAAAACGCATGAATTCGAGTGCAGATTACAATCACATCCTAATGTATCATTCACCGAAATCACGCATGAAAACATCCAAGGATTCATGCACATATCCATTGGGAATGCAAATTTTAAGAATTTATGCAACATTTTAGAAAAATAGGTGTTAACATGCAAATATATAAGATACCCACAGTTACCACAACAACATTGAGTTTGGAAGCGTTTGGTATAGTTAGAGCCGTACCGTATATGTATATATATACATAGGGCGAATAGCGAATCCCCGCCATGTTATATGTTTAATATACAAATAAATAAATAAATAAATATAATAACAATGAATTAGACACAGACAACAAAAAGAATAACTATATAAAGACAACAAAATCTGAGACAAAATTCGACTTTTTCCATTCAAGTTTTCATTTGTCCATTAATATTATATGACATCATGAGAATTAATAGTCGAGCTGTTATCAACTGCCTACCTCGACATGCATGCTCATTTCCAATGGTTAGATTAGGATCACGGTAATATCCAATTATGCACTGATCGCAGTTTGAACCTTCTGTGTGATGTTGACATGCCAAGCATATACCACCGGTTATACCACCGGAACTCTTGAAAGCTTTTACGCTGAATATACATTGATTAGTATGATTACCGCATTGACAAGCTGTTTTAAAAAAGGAGGCGAACGAATTAACCAACTGAATTATGATCGTTTGTTATCACTATTATATTGTTATTATTAGTAGTAGTATACAGAATTTTTAAAAAGTATTATACTGTCTAATATATTTTGCTTGTATTTAAATAAAAAAGTTAAAAAATTTCTCTTTTGATTACCTCATCTGCGTAGACCAATCCAAACTCAGAAATAATTCAATAAACCAAGTTATCTAGATCTTCGAATATTTTAAAAATAGAATTGAATAATGTTTACTTCTGCTGATTTCTAAGAATTGTGAACTCATCCTGAACAAATTTTGCCGAATTTCTGTAAATAGATCGACTACTTTACAACTTAAGACACTACCAAAATCGCTAAGCTCTATTGGTCTGATCATATAGCTTGCTATAGGAACTGAAGGCCTTGGATTCAGACTGTAATGAGATTATAGGTCCCGACTCCCTAAAATGTGTAACGCTACAAAGAAGATTCTATTCATTACTCCTTGGTAATCAGTTTTAACTCAATTGTGATCAATCTGTGGTGAGTACCACAAACAAAATAATAAATATAATTTATCCAGATGACTTTGAGATTGTGTACAATTTTAAAAAATACACTTCAACCATAAATTACAACTATTATGTGAAGATCTCCACCTACCAATACTACTTTGACTAAAGGTTAAGAACTCCATAGATTATTAGAGGAAAAAAGATTAGAATCCCCTAGTCAATCTGTTAATTATTTTCTTACCAATATCAAACACTTATTCATATGCATAACATTTATAGATATCTACGAAAAAAATTCTTAAAGTTAACCATTAAGACTTCATAGAACCTTAGAAATTCATAAAATAGAAGTCAGAATTTCTCTCAAACATTTATCTTCTCATTTAAATCTGATACATTATCCTTCTCTTAAATTATATACTTCTTTCTTTTTTTCACTCTCCCTCCTATGTGTTTAGATTTTTTATTATCTTCCAGTATTCTCAATAAAGTAGACAATGTTTTTCTTATTTCGTTATATCGTGTAAAATGATTTCACCAATATCCCACCACACATTAGTTTCCATGTTTTTTTACCCCTAAATTCACATATTTATATCACTTTAAAAAAAGATTAAAATGAAATCATGTATCTCTTTCTTTTGTTTAAACATATTTAAATGTTCAATGGATCACATTATTATTTTACCATTTTGTTTTAAATTACGATTTTTCTTTTTAACTAATGAGTACAATTCAATAAATTCTTGATCATTATAATTTGTTTAGTTGTTTTTGTTGTTGTTGTTAAGTCCATTTAAACAAGATTATTTCTCTATAGGAGGATAGAAATAATCAACAACAACAAAAAAAATGAATATAGGATAAAATTTTTACCTTTGATATAGATAAAGAGATATAATGCATATTCTAACATGAATTGGTATCGAAACTCAATAAATTGAATGAATAACAAACTATCAGATCTAAAGAATCTAATGGATACTCTAGTTCTGAAACTGTTATTATGATTTTAGACATTATCAGAGTTATCTTCAAAAGCCTTTCAAAAACAGATTGAGGCTTAAGAATCGATTAACAAAATAATGGATTCAACTAAAGAGAGAAGAAATCAGTTTGATATATAATTGTTCAGTCATTATAAAATATGAAAATTAAATGTATCTAATCACATAAGATTGTCAAACGCTGGTTTTAGAAATTTTAAGAGCCCTAAATAAGCAGTAAACAATTTGTTACATAACTCATATAAACATTCAGTAATTTGGTGAATAAAGTTATACCTTGAAATGATCACTTAAAAGTTTTCTATCTATACTACTTTCACTCCACTCACAAGTAAGAGTTGTCAGTGATTTAGAAAAGGTGAAAGCTCAATTAATTTTGGTTCAAGTTTACAGTCATTCTGAGTAAGTCATTTTCTGAGCTCAGGGAACGAAACTAACAAAATTCATATATATCGCTTGTAACGATTTATTCAATTTGAAAATAATTTCTGTTGCAAACCAATATCAGCTGAAGTACTATTAAAGACTAAGGAATACTAGATAGTCGTATTTTTTTAATGCAGGACTTCTGAACAATACTTACCCCGCTAATTCATACTTAGTCAAAGGAAGAATGTTAAAGTTTCGTATTAAGCACGATATCAATGGACTTTTTCATAGAAACCAAACGAATCACAAGTTCTAAATCCATTCTGCCAATGCACCTTATTGATAAACAGATGGCTTGGATGACCTATATTACAAAACAATTGTTTATCAATCGAAGACATAGGATGATGGTTGCAGTGTGCTGTGAATCGACTGAAGTCGACATTTTGGATCACTTATACTACGCCATTCATATAGTTCTGACTGTAAAATCAGAATGTTCTAGTTTCACCTTTGTGAGTTTGTTATTATACAGTAGAGGTGAGTCACAAATAAGACGTCTGGAACTTATATCAGTTGTTGATGGAAACTCTCTCCACATATTTCAATAATATATGATTATTGGTCATCATTATTAGTTCACTTTCTTACTACAGCTTAACTTGTACCGAATGTAACAATTTCGTTAAAGTGTTTAGGATACACATAAGTTCATTTTAATTATTTAAACATTAGTTGAATGATTAATCACTGATATGTTATGAACTCATTTCATATATGAGTTTCGAATACCACTGATGCGACTATTACTACTCCATCTATTCTTCCTCCTACGATTACTGTTAGCAAGAATAATAACAATCATAATAATAATAGTGACAATAACAGTGACGTAGTTTGCAAACTGTTCAATCTTTTGCACAGTAAATGATTACTTAGACAGACAGAATCTTCTGATGATGTATTTATTAGTTCCTAATCTACCATTATTTATGTGTTACTTCATTCAAAATATTCTTTAGAATGAGTTAATATCATTGTGACTAGAAAAATATTTCTTTCTAATTACGCATAGTATATGTATACATTGTAAGACTGAAAGAAATTAAAATGATTGTAAATACAAATCTCATAAATTACACAAACATAATATTGTTCTAAATTCCTGTTTAAGTGTGGTGTAAAATGGTCAAAATTACAAACCGTCTGAATACATATGTCCTTTAATAAAATATTACTAATTTAAGGTATTGTCGGTTTGGAATAAAATATGATGACAATCCAGACTAATGGTAGAAATAACTGTCATTTTCACATACAGAGAAACCTAAACACCTATCCACACACAAGTGTATGTACAACTGTATACTTATGTGCATAGTAACCCAACACATTCATCGATTAGCCATCTAGCTCACCACGATTATTATGTTGACCACCTACTAATGCTGTTATTATGCTAAACTAAAAACAGAACGATACGACCTACTTTCAACTTAATTTAATGTTTGCTAGTGTTGAAGTAAGTATAGGTAATGTATACCTCTCTTCCTTCCCCTCTTATAATTATTCTTGAGAGATTGTTTCCATGTTTAAATAAAATAAGTAATTTATTACTATATGGTTAGTTTACAAGTTTTACGTATGGTGCAACAGTTCGACAGGGCAACACTCTTTGTAAAAGCAGGCAAAAACAATACTATTACTACAGTACTAGGAACGATATATATATATATATATATATATATATATATATATATATATATATATATATATATATATATATATATATATCAGGAAGAAATGCAAAAATTCGAAAAAGACTGACAAATTGGTGATGAATACTAACAACTGCCGTTTTAAAAAGCAAGAAGAATTGGCGAGAGAATAAAAGAATAAAGAACACTAAACTTATTAAGTTATTTTTCTAGCCCTTTTTAACAATTTAAGCAATTATAAGGCTAGAAATCCTAATCCTAATAACTAGAGTGAATGCATGTGAAAACTACGCCTGAAGAGGACTTTTCACCATGATTATTATATCAGTCAAGAAAATCATTAGGGTCGTGAACCGGCAAATGTTAGACAACCATTAAAAACCTGGAAGCACTGGACGGCCGTTTTGTCCTCGTATAGGACACCAGAGAAGTGCGTATTCACGATCTCTTGTGCGGGACTCCAGCCCAATGAAAAGCCATGACCAGCAGAACTAATCTATGCCGAGGTTGAGGCAGTAACCCACCGAAGACAATAGAAGATGATCGTGCAATATCGTGTATTGATTGGAGTTAGACATTAACACCACTGTATGCCGGCTCAGTGGTCTGGATTTTAAGCGTTCGCGCTTGCGCCCGAGAGTCCTTGGTTCAAGTCCCGCATTTAGAATCCTGGATGCGCACTTTTAAAGAGTTCCATACTAGGATGAAATGGAAGTCCCAAGCTTCCAGGCTTTCAATGGTGGTCTTAAATTGACCGGTTTATGATCTCA